AGGGTGGATGTTTCCACTCAAATGTTTCAAGTGTTTTAAGTGTCTGATGGGTTTGAAAAATGTATTATTTGTTTTTATACCTTTATCCCTGATGAAAGGGGTGTCTTGAAAGGTGTGCCAGATAGCCGTGTGTCATCTGGTTCAGCCTTAAGCTACGTCACCGTCATTGTTCATTTATTTATCTTTTTCATTGATGCATTCGATTTCACAACACATCAAGTTGTGTTTGTGTTACTTTGATGTCACATCATTTTCAAACTGGAAACGGGTAAAATCTGCTCTGGTCAGAAAAAAACAGAAATGAAGTTGAATTTGAGACTCACTTGAGCCATCTTTTAAATCATAGCCTCACTTTAAATTCACCCTCATTTTCCTCAAAATTAGAAAAATCACTGCCTATGGAGAAGCAAAGCTAAAAGTCATGTTAGCGGCTACTATAGCTGTGTTCTTGTCAGAGTATCAGTCACAAGTTTCTGACTTCATGTCAACTTCTAAGATGTAATCATGACTGGGAAACACATTTTTTAGTGAAAGATTCAATATATCTGACACCTAGGAATGCAGAAGTGCTTGTAAAACATGGAAGTTTGACATCAGCTAATGATCGTTTGAGTTTTTTTTTCAGTGCTCTGCATCTTAAAGCCGTCTTGTTAAAGTCAGTTTTCACAGGTCATTAAAATGGGACTGTTTCTATCGTCACTACCCAGGTAAAGCCGACCTTAACTAGGCATTTGTCCCTAAATCAAATCATTACTAATTAATACCTCACTGGTAACTGATTAAACCCCTAAAAACTCATCTTTGTGTATCAAAGTTACACAATGAGAACATTTGTTCATTTATGTTTTTTTCCCATGAATACTGTCCCTTCCTGCCTTAAAGCGGCTCAGATGTGAATCTTTACTGTTGTGTCTTCTAGAATGTGCAGATCTGTGAAGTCCCTGCTTCTCTCGACACCCACCCCTCAATTAACAGCTGCAGTTGGAGCACACCAGCTCACCTGTGACTTTGCTGTAAAGCTACTCCGTGCTACACAATGGCAATATTGAAATATTGGAATAATTCAGCCCTACGTGTTTAAACAAGAAATCCATTCTGAAGACGTAGAATGATAGAGAAAACTCCACCCTGCAAGCTGACAGGATTGATTTCTGAGGTTTATCACGTATGCAGTTTAACCCAGTTTCATCATCAGTGCACTGTAGTTTCATGGTAGAAGTCCTCCGCCATGGCGTTCACTGATTAATTTGCACATGATGTGTCTTGGAGCATGTAAGAAACACCCAATGGACATGCTAGGATAAAAACGGACTCTGCTTTCCCTGTAATATAATCACAATGACATTTTGTATGTGCAGTGTGGTCTTTTTGCCATTTTTGTGTATGTTAAATGTTTTTATCTCCATTGATATTAGAAAGATTTACACAGTATACTTGTTGAGATTTGACACTTGTCCAGAGCTCTAAATTATGCAATAGAAGCCACTCAGAGTTCACCTTTTACACAGTCTGCAAAAAACCCGACTTAACCAGTCAGTTGTGTCACGTTTACAGAATGCTTGTGTCTTATTCGACACAAGGACATGGAAGTCCACTCCCTAATGGCAAAACAGAAATAAATCTGAAAAAGGTGTAGACCCTCCTGCAGGCATGGTGACTCACCTGTTGACACATCCTCTCACTGGAGGTTGGGCCATTTTCACATGTCACAGCAGGAGAGCTGCAGGTGAGAGTCACAAAATTGATGGCACTCAGTCCTGGCGTACTGGTTTAACTGGGACAGAGTCATCCTTACTGTTATGTTACCATGGAAAGACAAAGTGTGGACCGGGGGGAGAGACCAGTTGGTTGAATTATGTACCGATCAGCCAGAATATGAAATATTATGTAGAGCCCTCTCATGATGCCACACCAGCTCTTACCCACCCTTGGGTCCTATTGGTTGAAGGGTGGGGCCACTGTGGATCTGGTTTGCTGCAGCACATTTTAGTGAAACTTGGGGATCTGGGGACTTTGGAAATTGGATCAACACCTCTGGCTCTTTTTAAGTTCCTCGAGCCATTTCTTGAACTGGTTTGGTGCTGTGGTGGAGCACTCTGTCCCAGTGGGAGAGACCCCCGCCTTTATCAGGAGGCGGGTTTGATCTGCAACACTGTTGAGGAGGGAGTTAAATGTGAAAGTAACATCTGCATGAAGGCCAATAACTGAGGTTTCCCAGCAGCAGAGTAGTGCACTCTAACTAAATAAGCAATTTCAGTCACTTCATCTATTGTCAGTTTTATTGTTGTTGCTGGTTGATGTAGAGCTACCTGAGACTTTTTGTTTACTCTAATCTTTTTTTTTTTTTTTTTTAAACATCTGCTTAATGAATTAGGACTCCAGCTAACGATTGTATTCATTATTACTCTGATCTGTAAAAAATTAACACTTTAAACAGTTTTTAGCTATTTATTTTTTGAACCATTTACTGTTATTTTACACATTTTCCCTGTTTTGTAAAATTACATTCAACATCTAGTAAAATCACAGGGGAAACGTATTAATTTGCATGTTAATTGTTGGTTTAAATAATGATAATAATAAGAAGGAAATAAATAAATTGTAAATAATGTGTGCAACAAAAATTGTTATTTTTTATTGTGTTTAAATCAGCAGAAGTATTGTTAGATATCTTTTTATTTTAAAGTGAAATG